GGTCCAATGGAAGTATAGCGGACATTTTCCAGGCAATGCATTCTTCACACAAACACATGCAATTATAGAGACATTCTACTTTTAAAACTTTCTCAAATCAAGTTTTGCAATACAGCAGGATATCCGAGGAGGGAGATCAGGACTCATACTGAACAAAAACAAAAGCCTTCAGCTTGATTTGTGCATGTTTAATCTACAATTCCAATTCCCAAATCTTCACGTATCACCTATGAGAGAAAAGATCACATCTAGTAAAGATCAGTCTCAAGGACAGAAGACACATACAATTTTTACAGCCATTCCGGTTAAGAAGAGATAAATAAACATGCTGCTGCCGCCATCTTGCATTTCAGGAATTGTAATTCGCCATGCCCCTATTATAAAACTGCATCTCTTCAACTTACCCGAGGCGAGAGTCTTGCTCTTCCCTCCTCCACCCCAACTCCTCGTCCCTTTAGCCCAGCAGTAAAACTTCATTAACTTGCACAGTAAGGATATTTAGTTTCCTAGCTTGTCAAAATACAGCTTTGATAGATTTAATTTTCTGCCACTTAAGCTGAATTAGTTCATCACATACTCTTAATCTGAATGCGAGACAGAGCAAATAGAGCAGAAAAGGAAAACCAGAAAGGACCACTCTATCTCTTCTTGTAACAGCAAGCTATTAAAGCGGTCTGAGCCATTGTGCGCGGTCTCACCCAGCCTGGTGGTTGAAGGGAGACATACAGAAGAGAACAGTCCCTTGTCAAGCTGCCAACACAATTTGATACACCCAGCAGCTAACACCAAGAACTCCCTTCCCTCCAGGGTAACCCCCTGAGATATTGCCAGCTGATTCCTCTACTAGATTTCAGATCCACCTCTCTTTGTAGAGCAGCAGAGTCAGTACGTTCTTACTGATCTCAGTATCCTCATCCCGCACAGAGACACTGCGTTCAATGCCAAGTGCTGAAAATCAAACCAATGAAAACTACACATGCACCCTCTCCACTCAAAAAAAACCGCAAAACCAAACAACCCAAAAACCCACCAACAAAACGTTCGAAAACCCACCTAACCATCACCACATCATCATCACTGGCTCTATTCAGGGTGCTACAGGCTCTGTTGAGCAGGAGTTCCCCATTTTACCAACACTTGGGATGTTGACATGCAACAAAACCATGTTTTTATTATACTTTGTGCCAACAACTCAAAAAAATACTCCATAAATTCAGAATGCCACTCTTAACCTACTGGTGCATACTCCAAAGTACAGTTGGTATTACTAATGGTAGTTGCACGTCTAGACCCATCTAGACAGGAGAAGTCTGCTTTTGTGGGGCAGCAAAATAATCAGCCCAACCTGCTGTGTCTTATCTGTTGCCGTCATAATGCAAAACCACCACCTTTCACTTCTGATGGAGCTCATCGAAACCTGCAAGTGTGGGTACCACCTCTGCCTCACCTCCTCTCAACCACACAGGGCGCAGAAAGTGGGGTAACCAATGCCACCTGCTTGCTGGGCTCCCCTCTGCACAACTGCTGGCCAGGCCTTAGAGAAAGCTCAGCAGACCCAGCAGAAAACCAGGAGGACCACACCTGGATCAAGAAGTGATAAAAAAAAAAAAAAAAAAAAAGCCTTTGCGTGTTTGACTAAGTTGTTGCAATGGTGTTTCTCCGTGCCAGTTACACACTGGCACCGGACTGGAATTCCCAAAACGTAACAGCCCAGCTTTGGCAGGAATACACCAGTGCCCAATTTATTAAGTTGGCATGGATTAAAAGCATTCTCACTGTAGTTAAATTATCCTACGACTCCTCTGGCATACCTCCAGAATCTAGCACTAATTACTGGCAACAGGTTACCAAACTACATTCACTTACTCGGGAGGGTGAGGGGCAGGGGGAAGGCTGTCTAATCAAACTTCCCTAGTACATGCAAAGAATCTCCTCCAAGCACTACTTAGAGCCAAAGGAGAATCCAGTCTAGGGGAAGTTAGCAAAAGAAAATCCAGATTTTCTAGTTAAATTGGTACTGCAGCTAGTTAATCTCACTCTTAACATGCATTTAGATCTGAAGTGTCTATGGCTTATTTTTGCTTGCTATCAAGGCTGAAAGCTGAAGCTAGTTTATACAGTTATTTACTATCAAATTTATTCTGAAATTTGGCATTTGTAGACTATTATTAATAAACTAAGATTTCTAAACAGAGGGCCTCTAGTCTCACTTCAAACACCAGTCCATTTTGACATGTCCATAGCTCCTTTTTAAAAAAAAATAAAAAAATAATCACTTGAACTTTACAAGTTTTCTCCCTAACAGTAACACCAGAACTAATGAAACCATACTGATGAACACAATACTAACAAAACTCATTCTACAACCACCACCACCAACCCCAGTCCTGCCTAGGGATTTTCCCCAACTGATTTATTCAACATCTCCGCTGGGGGGGTTGTCCACTTCGTGTGGGCACCCTGCTTTAGCTTTGTATAATCATACCACATGATTTCGGCAAAATCTGACAAAGAGAGAGAGGTCTCAGGCAAGTTTCTGCATGTTTTATAAAAAATGCTCAGGTAGGAACAGAGAAAGACTGGGCCCAGGGAGGGAATGGGGGACAGGGCAGAAGGAACCCACAACACGTCCAGCATCAGCTGCCACACTGGGCAGGCCATAGCCTAAGCAGAAGAGGCAGATTAAAGATTCTCCAAGTGATAGGGAAGGGAGTCACGAGGTACCTATCCTGCAAAAAGTCACAGCAGGGAAAGCCTCACTAGATCTGACCTTCATATAAATCTTCCACAAAGTGCTATAAACTAGAAATACCAGTTTGATCCAATACCAATTTGTTCCAGATCAACAAAATCCGAGAACCTGTACTTACTTATAGCTGCTCAAACCCATTGACTCTAAAAGTAATCAGTTTGAGTTATAACAGTGGGTGACAAGCTTCACATTTCTAATCCTCTCTTGCTACTGTTTTAAGCTCCACAGATTGTCTCTTCCCTGTCCTGTACTTTTTCACCTACCGCTTGTTGCTAGTGCGTGTCAGCTTTTTGACTGAGGTCAGACTAATGATTCGCTTCGGAAGATTTTTGTCATCGTGCTTCCAAAGAGAGCAAACTGCTTGCTGGAAGCACTGCAATTCGGCCTTTTATTGTCATCATTCCTCAGCAGCACAGCTGGCCTTATAGTTAGGTCTCGTATCAAAGATGAACTGTGCGCAAACCAATTTGGCTGAAACAACTCTCACTACGCTTGTGAAAGGCTGAAACAAAAGCGGTATAGTGCCAGCGTTAGAAACATACTCCAGGAATCTTCATACTCCGATACTTTTCTATTTACACTTCAGATTTTATAAGCACACTTTTCAATTTGCAGGTTCTTTAGCTTTTCTTCCAGCTTTCTGCTGGATCCGAGCTTTGATTCTTAAGAAAAGCTTCTGGTTTTATAGGTATTACATAAAAGCTGAAGTACTTACCACATTTCTCCCCTCCAGCATGAATATTGCACTGCAGGTATCAGCAAGACACAATCCACAGACTGACAAGACTTCTCTTGATAACGCCTTTTGGTTCCTCCTTGAGCTAGAGTTTAAACCCTCTCAACATTTACTACATCAATGTTCAGTTTTGTGTTAAGGAAGAGGGAGAAGACTTCGATTTTAGTACTGAAGAGATAGTTTAAAGGCAGTTCTGGAAGCGTTGATAAGCTTCTTTTGGAGATATAAAGGTCCCTATACATTGTTTGGTTTAGTTGTGGGTTGTTTCTTTATTTGTTCCGTTTTGGAGATGGTTGGTCAGTCATATTCCATTCTCATGTGCTTCTTGTAAGATAAAGGCATCACAAAAGCTTGCACCTGCTGGTGACATCAGAACTACAACCTGACAATTTTCCAGTAAACCTAAAAGTCACACTCCTACAGGGAAGAGGCAGATATTTTTTTTTTTTTAAGTAGGCATTAAGAGGAATATTTTGAAGGAAATTTAGGGTGAAACATCTGCTCTGCAAAGTAGAAGTTCAGATTATATTTCCCCAGCTGAAACCTCTGTCATTTCTGGAACATTCACTCTAAAATTAAAAAGTTATTGCTTCTATTGAAGCTCAATATAAGTTAGAAAAAGAATTGCATATTTTCTTAAAAACATTCCAAATATACATTTTAAAAACAAAATGCACTCTGAAACAAATGTCTAGTAAAAGACACTGTTTTAAGCAACCTGTAGTAACAGCTTTACAAAAGAAAACTGAGGAATGTAGCATATTATTTATAACATGACACTGCTAAAATCCTAAACAATTCACCTAACACTCTCAATAAGTAGTGTTTTAAATATACATATTTCTTTACAAAACAGTTTAGCAATTCCTTATACCACTTACAGTATATAAATATTTGGATAAGAGGTCATAATGGGAGATGCCAGGGGTTATATTTACTCTCAGATGCTTCAGGTTTCCAAAGTGTTTTGCTATAAGGCACAATACTGCTAATCTAAAAGAAAAGAATAAAAGCTAATGGCAAACCTAGTCAAAACTCCTAGTGTGGAATATCCAAGAAAAGAATTCCAGCATCTCTATGCAAAGGAAAAGAGAAAAAAAACCAAAACAAACAAACCAAAACCAAACATTGTAGATCCTAAGAAACAGTTTCAATTTGTACATAACGAAGTGGGACAGGATGGGAGCGGGAGTAAGAAGGAATTAAGTAAATCCTTATAAATAGACTAATAAATATATTTTAGCCATAATTAGCCCTTTACCTCTGTTCTACTGAGTTTAAGATTGAAAGAGGTTACCAGTGTGCATATACCTAAATAAGTCTACATGCTCAGCACGTGAAGACCACCTAGCACAACCTATTACTGCCAAATTCAGTATAAAAAGCTAGCAAGATGGAGAAAGTCTCCGTTTCTCTCAGCATCCACCTGGAGTAGAACACTTTACAAGATCAAATTAGCATCTGTTACACATAAGGAAAGTTGCAACTAGCAATTTTTTTCAGCACAAAAAAGGATATGCAACATATCCACGAAGTTATTTGATTCCTTCAAGGTTAAATTATATCTTTCCTAAGAATATCCATCTCCAGTTACAACAGATCAGAACTTTCAGAACATTTTAATAGTTATAGTCTTGTAAGTGTTCTCCATGTGTACATACTGAATGTAAATAGTGCATCCAAAATATTTCTCCGTTAGACATTCTACATTGTTTTCACTGCCTAGTCTTCATCTTTGTTACAGCCCTCTGGAACACAATGACATTGTAACAATGCTTACAGAAAAAAGGGTTATTGCATCTTCTTTTAGGATGAGACATCCAGAGGAGATTTTATAAAATCCTCCTGTGTACAAAATTCTTAGTTATTAGCCCTTTTGGAACACCAGCTAGAAAAGTTTGAAAGGTAAAATAATTTACATTGTTATTTTTCCGTTAACTAGACAAGAGTCCATACTAATTAAATAAAAAATAATAGTTCTTCAACAGTCTATTCAAGATATCTTCCACGAAGCAGTTCAGTGGGAATTTCCGTTAGATAGATGTTCTCCATGACGGTTATTACTGACATCCACATCTAGAAGCCAGGAATAGAAGAAAAACTGTTTGTTGATTTACAATTTTAATGCATTTTCTCTGTTAGATTAATCCAAACTCCAGCAACAAAATTAATATCCATATATACCTAAGGTTCTGAAGACTCTCTGTGTAAGTAATCCTCCTAGAACACTATTTACATCTTCCCCCCCTCCCTCAAGACCAATTTTCTCCAGCTCCATAGTATTCTCTCAAAATCTACCTGCTTGTATTTTTTGAACACCAGTATTAAGTGACAACACTCAGCCTGGTCCACAGTGCAACACTAACGCTACTGACATCACCGAGGGAATGGCTTCTTCTAATGCCATGAACAACGTTAAGGATTGTCAAGGGATAAACTAAATTATGACTTACCAAGTAACGCTGTGGTTTCACCTGCATCCTCTTTTGAACTGGTACATTGCAATACAGATTCATTAGTGGAAGAAGCTGACAATTCGCTTACTTCGTTTCTGTCATCATCTTGTAAAGCAATACTCAGACTTCCGACTGAAACGCTGCCACTTATTGATTCGGGTATTGGAACTTCAAGTACATCTTCAGGGTCACCCTTCAAAATGAAATACATTTAACTGACACTTCTGTCTACCATTAAGAATCAACGTTCCTCCATGTTACCAATTTGTAACCTCACCTTATTGAAAAAAATACCATTTGTTTGCCTATTATATCTGTGCTTATGCGTACAGTGTCAAGCAGTGTCTACTTCCAATGTTATAGTCTGACTGCAAAGAAACAAAGCCAAGCAAAAGAAAAGCCACTTTCTCAAAGCCACCCCAAAGCCAAGAACAGCGACAGGAGGAGTCAACCCAGCCAGCGTTTTGGATGGAGTATTTCAACGCTTCAGCAACAGTATTGCTGCAGTCTGGTTAGGAGCAGGCTCAGCGCATACAAAGTCTTCACTGAGCAAACCTACTGATCCTTTGTGAGTTTGTGGAAGCCCGATTGTAGTTGGGCAAGCTTAGACTTTTTTTTTTTTTTTACTGGGGTGAGCAAACATTTGACATGAGAACAAACTTCCCTCCTCCTCTGTCTCCAGCCTAACTTTAAGTCTGTTTCAAAAATGCAAATATGCTGGCTTGTCACTTTGCGGGAACAAAACACCTGCAGCAGAGGCAAAGGAATTTATGTCATCTATTGTATAGCATGAGCTATTTCTGATCCATTCTGGAAGTTAATTTGAAATCCTACATGCACAATTCTGTTCCTAAAATTAAACAGACTACCTTCACTAAGCCATTGCCATTGATATACTGACATTATTTATACATAAGTATACTGCGGTACAAGTAGCTGTTCTGTGGGCTTCATGATGAGTATTTTGCCCCTCCTCAATTAGCAAAGGCCCATCTTAAGATTTAAGAAATTCTAGGCTGATTCTTTCTTTAGCACCAAAGCAGCATATTTTAAAATGTACTGAATATTAATAAGCTATGAAACTGCTACAATTGAACACAAGGTGAGACACATGTAAGACCAATCTCCACACGTGTGGGCGGGGGGCATTAGCGATTTTGATTTCCAAAACTTAGGCAGTTAAATAAGCCCTGAAACTACAAGATTCAACAATGCTCTGCTAAATCAGGCCGACATGCTGCAGTTGTTTTTCTTGTAAGAAACAGCATAATGCAGACCCAGACCACTGAAGCCCGCTCTTTACAAAACAAAAGCCAGGTAATAGGACTTGTGCCTTCCTTCTACTTTCAGCCTTGAAAAATTTTGAGGCATCTGAAGTACTTGTTTTCCATAAAACTGAATTGAGCCTTCAGCTCCCTTACAGAAGGTTTAGTGGATTTCTATAAGGCTGCACATTCTTGTCTGCAGTTATGTCACTCAGCAAGCACACTGCTGAAAGAAGCTGCTTTGCTCTTTGCATTCCCCGCGCCCTCCCCCCTTCCCCCAATAAAACGGTCCTGCAGTGACTCTACAAACTAGACTGGGCTGAAAACTAAGACAAGAAAAAAATACTGAATGATTTCCCACATTACTAGCTTCAGTGGGACTTGAACGACTGATGCATAAGCAAGACATTCTCCATTCCATCAGAAAAAAGAACTGGGCTTCCGTGTTTAATACAATCCCATTCGACCTGCTTTCCAACATTCATTTGGCCTAACAAGCAGAGGAGGTATTAATCCTCCTGGTTAGGCCTGGTATCAGTATCCCCTGCAACAGCATGAAGTCCAAGAATAAAAGCGTTCAGAAGGTTCTGGCATTTCAGTTTTCAGACTGTATACAGAAGGATATATTCTTTTGCATATAACACAAGTTACATCAACTCCAAGAGTTGACAAGTGAGCAAAAAATAAGCTGCTAACATAACAGTATTACAGTAATAATAGCTATTTCACACGAGAAAAAGATTGTAACTCTTGGATAAAGTCTGACTTAACACTGAGAAGCGCCACAATCTGGTATATACATTACACAGCAAGAGTATTGTCACTTTTGACAAAACAAGAGTAACTCATAAAAGTCTTCCACAGATCTGCTAAGTCTCTGCGATGAAATAAGAGGAAAGCTCGTCAAAACGCAGACCTAGTCTATGAAAGAAAGGTCCCTGAAACCACGGAACAACCCTATTTTCTGAAGATTTCTGTACATCAGTAGAAGAGAAGTACATTCATGCCTATGGCATTTTAGTGGAACTCAAGACTATTTATCAACAGTGACCAAGTAACCTACCGCATGTGTCTTCATCTCTCTTTTCTGGTGCTGTCAGAAAGAAATGAGAGCACATCATTTTCTCTACTTAACCAATTTCTGGTGAATGTCTTTAGGAAGGTTCTAAGTACTGGCTTACGTACAGGGATAAAACACTGGACATATGTGGAAGTACACAAACAAGTTAGAAAATCTGTAATTTCTTCCCTTGAATCGCAGTTCTCAATAAGATCAAATATATGCTCTAGATCTACTAAATTAAGCTATATTTTTGCAGCTTGGGCAAATTGCCTCACCACTGCTTCAACTTCCTTACTATCATCAGCTGGAAAAAAAAAATAAATTGGTTATCACAGGAGAGTACAAAGAGGATTCATAAGCTGCTTGATACACTGTTTAAGCTCTTACCCATAAAATTCCCTTATTTTTCTGGTTCTCATTCAATTAACCTTGCACCTTTGCCCAGCTTCTTCAGTTTTGTCAAGTAACAACTCTTCTCATTCTGAACAGTTACACGAAGTCTTGCCTCCTGCACTCTACTTCTAACCTAGAAGATTAAAGTAAGTGTGCAACATACCCAGTATCCCAAAGCTTTGATAACGTCTAGTTTACACATTGGACAAGTTCGGTGGTCCAAAAGCCAAGGGTCAATGCACGTTCTATGGAAGATGTGCCTAAAGAAAAGAAATGCCCTTTAGAACTTACCATGAAAGCCACACACCCTTCCTTCAAACAATGTGCATACTACTACATGAAAAAATAAATCCATTCCTTTATAACCCTGATAATTAGGTACTGCTTAATTTACTAGGACAGACACGGTTATGGAAGCATCTCCTTTCATGCTAGCTTTCTGAAATAAGAGATGTCACTAACCGCAAGGACACCACAGAGCTACCAACTCAATACTGTACAGTTCTAACTTAATACTAAGAAAGCGCTACTTCACTCCTACAGTTCTCCCAATTGCTCCTTTTTCCTGTGCAGATATGAAGTGCTACATGATCTTCCAGCACCCTCCAACATGTAACAGGCCATACAAATGGCACAGCTTCAGCTCTGCCAACAGAGTTTCAGAAGAGTTTCCATCACATATTTCTGAGGGAAAACGGGCTAAAGAGGAAAGAATAATGATGGCAACTTACTTGCATGGCAGAATTCGGACGGTGTCTTTCAGTTTATAGTTCTCAATGCACACAGCACAGTTTTCCACATCAACATCTAAACCCTAAAGATGACAACACATTTAAATGCATTACATCTCTATTTCATTACATAACAAGTTTTGTGTAATAGCTAGTGTCACAGAATGTAAACTATACAAAAAGGTTTAACAAATAAAAACATCTCCCTCGTTTAATTTAAGATGCCATCAAGAGGTGATTTGACCAAGTAATACCAAATATTAAAAGCAGCCAAACTCGTATTTTCTAATTTAAATAGCTGTACATGGCACCTTAAGTAATTTGTTAAGTCTCAAACACTGCCTTTGTTCATGGGAGCACAGTAAAATTTCAGTTTAAAGTAACTACAAAATGAAGACATTTTAAAAGAGGTAAGCTTAGATGAAAGCACACTATCTAATTTTTAACTGATGGTCCCAAGGACTGGCAAGTGTTTAAGTAGGATGGGATTCTTGAGGTTGACTACTGCAAACCTCTTTTTCCCCACTTTTTTTTTTTCCCTCCGTTTTCTTACCACATCCTAGCAGGTATCTCTTGGCAGCTAGAAGAGAAGTGAAGTATGCGATTTGTGATGGTTTTTAAAACTTCTCTCCAAGCTCACACCAGCGAGTCAAAACGCAGTATTTCCCCACCTCAATTTGTTTCTTTCTAAGGGTTAAATATCTTTAACAGGTCTTACTGCCTTCTTGAAGCTATGCTTATAGTTGCAGTGAAAATATGATGGATATCTCCAGATACAAGAGAAATAATTCAAAGTTAATTGGGTTGTATAAAACGTTAAGTATTAGAAGAATAGACAATGGGCCAGCTTCTTTCTTTTCATCCCCCACAAAATAAGTATTTTGTGTTTACTGCTTACTGAAGCACTTCAATTGCGTTACCACAAACACTAAAATGAATTAGTACTGCAAGCAAAGTTTCAAGTTCAAGATGAGTTTTACCCTCCTTTGCATGCTACCAGTTTACACAATTAATACCTTAAATTCCCAAGTAAATCAAATTAAGACTTTTTTTTTACATAAGCAAAGCTAAGACAAGTATTTATTCTGTAACAAATATTTTTTGTTCTATACAAGAGGCAAAGTCCAAGCATACCATATGTAGCACACACTCAAATTGGTGTCCATTTTACAATAATCCCATAAGCTTCTCAGGAAAGATCTACATGATAGCAAATACACTTTTAAAATACTGACCTATTTTTAGTTAAATACCTCAAACCCAAATGAAGTGATAATGAAAGACTGTAGTGTGTCACAATAAAAGAAATATACTGTTTTAGTCATAACGGCATGTAAAGAAAACACACATGTTTACAGAGTAGACAAGACTGTATTTCCAGATAAATTTACATTAGTTCATGAGAGTACATCTGCATCATTAAGTTATATAAATTTGCTGATAGTAGGCTGATTCAAATCAAATTAGAAGACATGATCTACCAAGCAGAAAACCTCTATTTTAATAGAGGGATTTTAATCTAATCTCATTCTACTTTGCTTAACTAACATGGCATTCATAGTTACAACCAGCACACTACATAACAACTCAGTTAACTTCCCTTATTTATTTATTTTAGTCAAGGGTATATCGATAGGAAGAAACTACCTGCTACACTGCAAAAATCTCATAATACAAATCCTTTTTAGAGGTTTGCTGAACATCAACTTAAACGCAGTTAGCAGCTTCCTTGTGGTTCTCACCGTAGGTTTCATCATGACCCTTTTACATCCATTTCTTCCTATGCTGATGTTATGCTTTGATACTGCTTTACACAAGTTTTGGTTCAGTTCCACCTTTCTCACTCTCTGATCTCACCATTGTATGAACAGAAGTCCAAACATCCCTCTACTCACAGCTTGAAATAAATTACTTTTTGATGGAATTTCGAATGTAATTAAAAGTAACAAATACTCATAAAATGCTACTTAAACATGATGAATGCGTAAGAGGAAAAGAGGCAAATTCAAAGACAGCTGGGTTTTCTTCATTTCAAAACTGATTTGCTAAATGAAGGACATATTCTCTGTAGCGTGTGACCTCAGCTGAGCAGCTTCTGTTGAACCATGGCTTTTAAAGTTCTTACACGTAAATGTCCTTTCTCACCTTAATTTTATTCACGAATTAAAAAACAAATACTTGTTTTTAATCTCTGAGCATACAAGTCCTTAAGTAAAAGCTAATCAAATAAGACAAATAAGGGTGGGGAAAATGTCTATGTAGTAGCAGAAGTTGAGTCAAACTAATTTAGCATCTAAATCAGAGCTGCTTGAAACTCCGACTAAAAAAGTATTTTCTTTCGAAACCTCGGCTTCAGGTATTGTCATACAGCTTTAAGTTTAGGCCGTATGCTGTCAAAGCTAACTTTCTGAAAGCTGTTTTAATTTTTAGAATAGCTTTACTTTAATACATTGAAATGTACTTCTAAAAAATTTATGCTTCAAGTAAGTCTATACAGCTCCTTAATGTATTGCATGTCAAAAGATGAAACAAGTGTTTTATTTTTCAAAGCTTTTTAGATTTCTAAGGCCTTCTGATCAATAAAAAGATGGATGTTCTTTTAAGAAAACAAAACATTACATCAGCTGTAAGAACTGTGCAATCAATAGGTCCTAGGAAGTATTTTGCAATCCACTTGTTGATGTTTTCAAGTGCTGATAAGATATTAGCGTTTCCTCATCTTTACAGTAGCAGCTCTGTAGTCTCCTGCAACATTCTGTACAACCAGGTATTATTTGCAACAAAACAGCCTTACATTTCATAACTAGTTCAAATTTGACTCTTCAATTTTAAACTTGGCCTTTAACCAAAGCTGCTAAAATGATCCTAAAATTTTAAGAGTCGCACTGCAATTACATTATGAGAATTGTAGCTTGAAATTTATAAAGACATTTAAAAACTGTTGTAATCATACAGCAATAACCAGGAGCCACTGAATTACCTTTTCTCCTCGTTTCACGGTATGTAGCTGAAGCTGGCTGATCGCTTTCTTGGTTTCTTTCCTATGTCCCTTGAATAAAGATTGTAAGTATTAGTACACAGGTTAGTTTTAAGAGTTACATTTCAAAACTTTTAAATACTTTCCATGTGGATTAGTTAACCTTCTGAATGCATTTAAAGATTCATCTCTGCCTAGCTAATTTGTTTACAAAATACTTCCAGCCAGCAGATGTTGAAGAACTGCAAGTTTTGCATTCTCGGGGCGCAGCAGCAGACATTATCTATAAGCGTAATGCTCTTACGATGAACTCAACCAGTACAGAACTACACGGACCAAGCTGACATACATAGCCTCGTACCATAACTGCCTGCATTAAGGGCCTTCCCGCACAGGAAAATTGACACTAATTTAGGCTTTAGAGGCATCAGAGCTGAAACAACAGCCATATAACCAGACGTTCTAGTTAGGCAAGCCTGTGAGCAAGCACACGGGACGTTCTGCACAAGCTTGAGAGAAGGTGGAATCCTGCCCAACAGCCTACAGCTGGCCACCAGGTCAAAAGGCTGCTTGTAGCTATTAATGCTCCCCCTCAGTTAAACACTGTCTCACACGTTATACAAAGCTTCACACTGAAAGGACACATTATGCAAAGGAGATGACAAGAAAGGCTTAACAGACATGAGACACCATACTGGACTTCTATACAGTAACAGTCCTAATTATGCTTAGAGGGGAAGCAGGGAAAGAAAGCAGTACTGTATTCCAAGACAAAGTGCTAGCTACTGATAGAAACTAAGAAACTAAACACTCCCAATTAACAGATGTTGATCTGCCTAGCAGCAGCCGTCACTGATGAAATACCATAAAGGAATCAAAAAGACGTAACGGCAGCTTTTCTCTGTAGCAATAATTACAAGACTTATGTCATTTTACAAACCTATGGCATTGGAAATTGGGATTTTTATTTTTTATGGTGTTAAAAAAGAATTAGTCTGAAAGTTGTCTCAGAAATGGACAACCAGCAGCAGTAGTCCATTATACCTTCTGATCAGCTCAGGGTTTTCTGCACAGCGCTTTCACCTCCAGTAGCAAGGAGGTCTTCTGAAGATTTACCACTAAACTGGTGTTAGAATAAATCTCCTGATACCCATCTTCACTTTCACTTAGCAGCTATTCTGCAACTTGCTTTAAAGCACAGCATACTTAACTCCCAAGTTTCAATTATACCGTAGTCAATAAGCCAAGCAAAATAACATTTGGGTTAGAAAATTGGTTTATTGTTTCCAATGTTCTTTTAAGACTTCTAATGATATATCTGGACCAAGATATCCACCACGTCTAGAAACTTCGCATAGTTTTATAAATTTTTGTTTTCAATGGCCCTTTTAGAAGAAGGAAAATTGAGGAAAGAGGTACAACTGTCTAATGCTACACAATTCCACTTAAGAAGCACTTAGATGACAAGCCCAATGGCAAAATCTATTAAGAGTTTGTGGTACGTACTTCTGGGACACATCACATTCAACCTAAAAAGTGCTTTTAAAACTACTAAAGCATGTGAACTTCCCTTAGCATGAACTATACTAAAGCCAACATAACAGGAAGAAGTAACTTTCTTCATCAAACAACTGTTACAATACAAAAACACACCTAGAAATATTTCTCAAAAATTGTTTTCTTAAGAGTATTCTGAGAATGTAAGTTCTAAGACTTGAAGCTTAGGTTGGTTCAAGGGTGGGTTCTAGGGAACCAACATTTCAAGTAGATGAGAAAGTTTAATCAGTACAGAAGTCCCCTGTGTCATGCTCAGTTATTGAAAAGAGAAGTATTTTCCTGGAAGAGCCCCGTAAGTCCTAACCAGAGCTCAGACTCCTGAAAGCAAACAAAAATTCCCTTCCTTCCTCCACCAAACCTAGAATCAAAACAACTCCAGAGAACTGCTTGCAAAGAAAACTAAGTGCAACTTTATTTTTTGCTGTTAGTAGAGAACCATGGCAGAGCTGCTGATGACCGTGTGCACTGGTTTTGGCTAGGGTAGAGTTCAATTTCTTCACAGTAGCTAATATGGGGCTATGTTTTGGATTTGTGCTGGAAACAGTGTTGATAACTCATGGATGTTTTTTTATTGCTGAGCAGTGCTTACACAGAATCGAGGCCTTTTGTACTCCTCATCCCATGCCACCAGCGAGCAGGCTGGGGGTGCACAAGAATTTGGGAGGGGACATGGCCAGGACAGCTGACCCCAACTGACCAAAGGGATATTCCATACCATATGACATCATGCTCAGTATATAAACCTGGGGGAAGAAGAAGGAAGGGGGGGGATGTTCAGAGTGATGGCATTTGTCTTCCCAAGTAACCATGATGGAGCCCTGCTTTCCTGGAGATGGCTGAGCCCCTGCCTTGCCCATGCGAAGCAGGGAATGAATTCTTTGGTTTGCTTTGCTTACATGCATGGCTTTTGCTCTGCCTATTAAACTGTCTTTATTTCAACCCACAAGTCTTTCCCCTCACTTTT